TTCCAGTATAGAAATGGGGAAGTGGGTAAGAAGCCTCAACCTTACCCGAGGAACTATAGGCCACAGATAACTGCTGCTGGGTAAGGGAGTGTCAGTTTTCTTTAAGGGTGTGAGGCTAGATAGGTTAACCAGACTCCAGTGAATGGACACAAACTTGACTCAATAGCCTGAATGTATATGACAGAGTTATAAATCCAAAGGGCAGGGGGCTATAAGAGGGGTGTAGTTAGGGGAAGAGTTCTACATATGATCAAAATATAATGTATAAAATTTATAAAATCTTAATAAAAAAGAAAAAAAGACATATTAATGGATGTTTTTGCTATAGTGTGAGAGTCATGTCTACAACACTTATTTATTCAGTCACTAAGCTATTATTTGACACCTTTTCCCTGGAACACATATTCAAAACCTTCAAAGAGTTTTGGTATCACTGTTCCATCTTCTCTTTCTAGGACACAGTGCATAAGACATCTTCAATAAATATTTATGAAACAAGTGAGCGAATTGAGTATCAGAATGAGCTCCTATGCCTTAGTTTGTGACAGTCTTTACAGAATAGTAAATAGCACTCTCTCTGCCTATATAGTGCTTTAAGAACAGCCAGGGATTTAGAAACATACTACATCACAGCTATAAACAAACTGCAATGTATATGTAGACAAAGGACAGCTTCTACTTATGGCCAGTAAGGGCATTTGCAAAGAGGAGCTGATTACAACAGACAGGATTTTGACAGGTGAAAGCCTAAAGTATGTGCACACCATGTGCCTGAGCAAAAGTACTGAGGCAAGAAACATAACTAAAGTGTTTTGAGCTCTCATTCTCCCATAAACTTTGAGTTCCTTTCTTGACTTCAACTTCATAGCCTTTGCATTTTCAACCTCCAAGAGCAAACAACTTTAAGCTTCACATAAGAAAACCAAGAAACACATGGCAACTCAGTGAGAAAGATCAGATATAAGTGTAGGCCTCCAAACCCCAGAGTTGATCATTCTAGTCATGAAATTATGTCTATGAGCTTTAATTGGCTTATTTTGGATGACATTAAAATGTATAGATACAGAGAAGAAAAAGAATGAGAAAGAAAACTACAGTGTTCAAATAGCGGAGCAAGGGGAAAAGATTGCTTATTTTTCAATTTAAAATACAAACAACACTTTTTGTACTTCAAATGCAGCAAACTTTTTGGACAGAATATCTTGGTAGATGTCATAGAGGACAGTTTTAAAAAGCAGTAATTAGGGGCTAGAAAGATGACTCAGTGGTTAAGAGCCCTGGCTGCTCTTATAGAGGACCTGGGTTCAATTTCCAGCAAACACACTGAGACTAACAACTGTCCAGGGTATCCAATACCTTCTTATGGTCTTCATAGGCATTACATGACATGGGTACATTTATATACATGTAGACAAAACACTTATGCACATAAAATATAAATGAATAAAAATCAGTGAACATTAATACTTAATTTTACAAAGGTTATTGCCTTTTGTGCTCAAATCCTTTTAAATTTCACTTTAAATGAACGTATTTCAAAACACTGACTTAAAAAAAATTAGTTTAATGGCTTGAAGTAGAGTTTCTCTTCTAAAACGTTATCTAACTGGAATGTATTCTAATGTTTCCTGACCTATAAGAATCATTCTTGTTTTTTATAACTTAATTAAAGATCAATTTCACTTAAAAAACATTTTCTCAGCAATTCAGAGAGATTATGGATAGAATGGACGAACAGACATAGAAAAGAGCCACTGTATTTTCATTGTTAGAACAGGACTATATGTAGTGGAACACTGAATTAGGTGGAAAGGGGCAGGGAGAAGGTGTGGATGAGGGAGATCTAAATATCATCAAATTATATTTCATGAAAATCACAAAAATTCAATAAAATTTTAAAAGAAGAGAACAGGAAGTAAGGAAATGTTTCAGAAGAGCAGAAATGTTTATGTTCTCTGCATAATATGAATCTGATGGACAGCAGATTTCATGAACACATTTCAAGAGAATATACTACTTTAACTCATCTATGCTTGAAAGAATTTTATCTTTATAGGTAGTTATCCTAGGTAGGTTTAACTATCCACTTGAACCAGTGTAGAGTCATCTGAGAGAAATATCTTGATTGAGGAATTGTGTAGATCAGATTGGCCTGTGGGGATGTCTTTGGTAGCTTTTCTTGACTATTAATTGATTCAGGAGTGTCCAGCCCACTGTGAGTGGTACCACCCCTAGGTGGGCGGTTCTGGACTATATAAAAAAATCAGGTTAAGCACGAGCCTGTGAGGGGGCAGGCCAACTAGAAAGCAGCATCCTCCATAGTTCTTGCTCTAACCCTTTGGCTGTGAGAGTGTTACCTGGTCAGAGGAAATGCTGCATGGAGTAGCAAAGATTCTGGCTTTCAGGTTCCTGCCTTGAATTCCTACCAGGACTTCCTTCAGTGATGTCCTGTGGCCTGGAAGTGTAAGATGAATAAACCTTTTCCTCCCCAAATTGCTTTTGGTCAGAGTGTTTTATCATAGCAACAGAATGAAACTAGAACAGTAGGCTACTATCAAACACCACAATGAAACATCATTGACATTTCCCATGTGGGTGTGAAAATAATAATCTATACCTTGAGTTAGGATCTACATGCATTAAAAATCTAAGGTAAATATCTATGTTCCTTCTCTTGTTTCCAGTCACCGTGTGTGTCTGATAATCTTAAAGGAAACAGAATTAAAGAATAATAGAGTCCCAAAGAGATTTGGGGATTGATTGGTAGCAAAAGAGATCTGGGAATTGATTGGTAGCAATCTTTGCTTTAGTTCGCCTATGGGTCTGATGGTTTATGTCATAACTTGGCTAAGCTATGATGATTAACTGTTTGGTCAAAGACTAGATGTTGCTCTGATGATGTTTGTAGATGAGATAACATTTACAATCATTTACTTTTAATGAAGCAGGTTACTTGCTATAATATAATAGGCCTCTTTCAATCAGTTGAAGGCCTTAAGAGTAAACACTGAAGTTTCCTGAGGAAGAAGCAATTCTACCTTAGGACAATCATTTAGAAACCTGCCCAGAGTTAACAGCCTATCTTCCCCATTGGTAAAGATTTATGTTAATCCAATACACTGAAAACTCCTAAAGCTCAAAGCAAATAAAGTACAGAAGAGACTTTGTGCTTTACCAAAAGCCAGTATATGACTTTCTTACAGAGGGACTTTTCCTCAACATTTAAGGTGGTTTCACCTAAAAAAAAAGTTTCCTAAACTTTTTTGGAAACATCACAGCACATTTGAATAAAAGATATTTTTAAAGTGCACCTTAATAAAAAATATTTCCCAGACATAGTTATTTTGCCATCCTGGAAAAAAATATTTTAAAAGGCAATGACTGGCTCAAGAAGACAAAGAAAGGTAAACATACATATTTTAACAAACATGTACATTCTTTCTTCTAGAAAAGTCACTGAAGGTCTCTGAGTTATCATGATTGTATAATGGAGGAAACCAGGGTTGACAGAGACTGGAGGACTCTCCAAAGCTATTCAGAGACAGAGCAGCTAACTCCTCAGTCTAAACTTGACTTGTTGACCTGAAGTGCTACCCAGAGAGCAGTTATCCAGAAAGGTAACAATTACAGATCTCTTGACTAAGAACCTCAAAGTGAGACAATTTTCAGTCTAACTAAAAGGATATGAAGATTTGTTGCATTAGTGTGAACATTAAGAGTTGCTTGGAAAAATTTCAGTATATACCATTCCCATCCCTAGAGGCAGACCTAGCATGTCCTCTTGACACAATGAATTGTTTCCATGGGAGGAGAGAAAATTTGGCCAATGGCATTAGATACTATTTCTCCTCTATCTCCCCCACAGTGCTCTCAAACAGATGGGGAATATTCTTGGGTTGCAGCATCCTCATTCAAAATAAGCAGACTCTTGGGCTTTTAAAATGTTAAGTGGGTTTACTGAACTGAAATGATTTTTCTCATGTTTCCTAGCTCTGTCCTACCTTAACTTTTATTTCTTCAACTTAATAACATTTCCTTTGGGGAAAGAATTCACACACCCCTTGATGGGAAAGTACCTTTATCTCTGCATGGTAAAGGTCCAGCACAAGCTCAGCCCATCTTCTATAGTCCAGCTCCAGCCACTGTTCAACTCATTACATTTGTAGGGCTTGATCTGGCTCCTAGTTCTCATTTGACAGCAGGTGGACCCAGACAGTTCTTTGGAGCCTCTGTGAGTGATTTCTCTCTGGAGAGGCACATCTCTCTAGTCTGCCAAGGAATGAGAATTCAATCACATAGATCACTTCAAATGGTGCCAAACACATTTCACCAAATGCTACTGGCAGTAATTACAGCATGTCACAAGGACATGTGATATTGTTATAGCTCTGTCTTGCCGAGTGCCATGAAGACCGGAGAGGAAAGACATTAGCTCTCCCCACAGAAATTGTGGGCTCCTCACAAGCTGACTCAGAACTTCTACACTAAGAAATGTCTGGGGCAAGGTACCTGGAATTAAGAACCAGCTAGAATGTACTGCCCTTCCCTGACACCACGTGTATCAGCTATTCCAAAAACCAAGCAAAGTGATGAATAAAGACCACCATTTTGTTCAAGCAGGGCTGAGGGCTCTGGCTGAGGGAAGGCATAACCTGTTGTGGCCTAGTGAAAGTGAGGCTCTTAGGAAAGAAAGGAAAGTCCAGAGAACCTGAGATGAGTTTGCTCCTCAGAGCAATAACATCCCAAAGTCTGCACGGATTTTTAGGCTCAACCACAAAACTGCCTTTCATAGAAGCAGGACTAGGAAGTCTCACCAAAGCACAGAAAGACCAGAGGCAAAGCAGCTTGGAGAACCAAGTTTTTTAGAAGATAAAAGACTAATAATAAGAAGCGGAGGGGAGCTGCAGAAGGACGAGGAAAGGCAGAGCCACCTAGGAGGGGTGAGACTGGAGGAGGGAATGGGAAGGAAGGGGAGGGAGGGGAGAGCAGGGAGAGCGGAGCCGAGCACGGACGTCAGGAACAAAAGCTCTGGCGGTGGAGTCTGGCAGAGGCAAGAACGGAGCATGGGGTGTTTTTGAATAATTATTAAAATTAGCATGTGTCTGCGCCATCCTGTGGGTGTGGCGCAGAGTGGAGTGTAAACTCTAGTCCGGCTGGAGCAAACATTGGATTAGCGGCTGCAGCTGCCAGCCAGCACCAGAGTGCAGGGACCAGAGCTCTGCACGCAGACTGACACCATGGCCTCGTCTCAAGGGAAAAACGAGCTGAAATTCGCAGACTGGATGGCAACTCTTCCGGAGAACATCCACAGCATCCCCCTCACCAATTTAGCCATCCCAGGTAGGCGCGCAGTGGCTGCCCGCTGGGCTGGGCGCCTGCTGCACCTGCCCCGCCCTGCTTCGCCGGCTACTAAGTGATAACTTGGCCCATGCCAGCAGGAGAAAAGCTGGTCCTGGGGGTGGGTCTCTGGCCAGCGAGAGTACATGGCAGTCTTGGCTTCCCAGGGGTTCCCAAACCTCTGGGGACCGTGGCTCCGGGAGTCAAGGTGACTGCTTCCCTGGCTTCCCCTGTGTGAGCAGGAAAGAAGCTTGGGTCCAGGATCGCCTCGAGCCCCCTCCCATGCATGGTTTTCCCTGAAGATTTGAGGGCTGCGACCGATTTCTCAGTCTGTGGGGCGATCGTGCTCGATGAGCACTAGCTGGTTGTCCTAGGGGCTCAGCTCCGCGCGTGGACCGCCGAGTTCATCCTGGCAAGGACTTGGACCAATTCGGTAGATTTTCCCTTAGAATATACAAGAATCATTAGTATTCATCCCCCTTCTCCTTTAAAGAGACAAAGCACTTCCCGAAGAGTGATGAAAGTTCAGGTACCAGCCTTGTGATCCCTGTCCTTGACAGAGAGCTGAAGGGGGCATGAGGCAGAAAACAGCATTTTCTAATTGGCGTGGACCTGGAGGGTGTCTGCTCTAGGTGCTGGTTAGCCACGCAAAACGCCCGGTCAGGAAAGCAAAACCTTGCACACAGAGCATTTCTGTCCCGACAAAAGCCGCGCGGTGGAACCCGCGTGAACAGTGGTAGAGAGATGGGATTAATGGGCAGCTGGCTGGGAAAGGTGACTGAGCTTGTGTCCAGAAAGCCTGAAGGAAAGGAAGCTTGGGGAAAGAGAGGACTAGACGCAAGGACCCAAATGGCTTCAGCATGGCGCGAGCTACTGGACCACAGAGCACTGGGCAGGTATCAAGGGCCGGAGCGTGCAACAGTCCTTAACTCAAGTGTCCAAGAAAAGGGTCTTTTCAGGACAAGTCACAACACCGACAGCTGTGGGAGATAGCTGTATTTCAGTGCCTATTTGGTTATGCACATGGGCTGAGGGTGTGCACACCTTATTCCTACAGGACTCCAGTCAGTAAGGGCAAATTACTCACAGGATAATCAACCTCCTGCCCAGAATAGAGCTGAGTTATTAAACTCAGTCTCCTGATCTACCTCCTCTTATCTGCCCTATCCAGCTCCCCTCCCACCCTGACACTCTGGGAAAATATGATGGCGCCTGGGAGTGGGGGTGGGGGTAAAGGGGTAGAGGCAAAACCTAAGAAATAAAGAAAGAAGAAAAGGGGTTTTCTAAAAACCACCAGTAAGCAGTAGTGGATGTTTGGCTGCTAGGGCAAGCACAGGGTGACCTAGGCACTGTCCCTAGAAAAGGTTGTCTCTCCTTGTGCCCTTCCTCAACAGATTACTTCCCAGGGGTCCAGGTGTCTCCCTGTAAAAGAACAATGCAGCTTCTCCCCTGCACTAACTCCCCTACCCAATTGAGCCAGGGGCTTGGACTTCTGAAGGAGTCCTTGAAAGCACACAACTTTGTTGGTGAAATTCCACTCTTCCCCAGACATGCCCATCCCCCTTTTCTTCCTGTTTTTTGTTTTCTTAGACAGTTACTTTCACATGGTCCCACCTGTTTTCTGCACTTAGCTGGTAAGAAGGGCAAGGACTGAGGTGCCAACTCTCTGATAGGAGACTCTTTAAAGATGTAAGGAGATTAAATGTCTGACATGGCAGTTCTGAAGGATGGTACAATCCCACATTTGAGTCTACCTTATATGTCTGTATCACTTCATTTTTCAAAGCCCTGTTATGTATGCTAGGTCACATCCTTCCAAAATCCGTGTAAAGTAGGCAGTGCTGGTATTATTATTTTCCTTTCATAGATTAAAAAAAAAAAACAAAAAACAAGCAGCATCCCCCAACACCTTCAAACAAGATGAAACTCAGACACTCTGTGAGCAAATGAACTAAAATCAGTTCGGTGGTTCTACCCCTAAATAAGTTTTAGGGAATATCCCCTAGTGATTTGGGGATTAAGGGCTTTGAGAGCTATGTGAGGATAATTCAGAAGCAACAAGTACTACCCAAGATGAGGAGTGAGGCACCTGCAGGAACAGGATAATTTTCGTTTTCTCCCCGTGGGACAGTGGAACTTTGAGGTTAGAGACCTCACTGTTCTGTTGATCTGCAAGTAGAGATTAAAGATGGTGGTACTGAGATGCCAGTGAATTCTGATTTATTTCCAAACCCTCTTAGTATAATATTCAAAGTGGAGTCCCAGCGCTGGCACCTCAGTGGTTAACAGCACTGACTGTTCCTACAGAGGACCTAAGTTCGACTCCCAGCATCCACACGGCAGCTAAAAACCATCTGTAACAGTTCCAGGGAAATTCGAGCCCCTTTTCTGACCTCCCTGAGTATTGCATGGCAGGGTGCACTTTCACACATGCAGACAGTACACTCATAGACATAAAATAAAAATAATAAAATAGTAAAAAAAAAATGAAAACAAAGTGGGGTTCCTGCAAAGCCTTACATTCCACTCTAGTACTTCTTACTTCTGAGAATCAATCTCTCTCTCTCTCTCTCTCTCTCTCTCTCTCTCTCTCTCTCTCTCACCATATTTCACCAAATTTGTATTTCTTAACATCCCTATGGTTGTGTAAAGTAAGATTGACAAATTTATATCTATAAAGCTAAGGTTAAAAATGAATCTGGCACCTTTCTGTATTACTCAACACTGAAAATTTATGGAGGAAAAAGAAGACATTCAAATTTTGATAGTAGACTAATTGGAGACTATTAAACACTAATGGAATAATTGCCTTAAAATCATGCTAATAGCTTCCTGGCTGCTACATGTTTACTTGGCCAGTTGCTCCAGCTTGAATTAAGCAATTATCTCCACCATTTAAAACCATGCCTGGTGCACAGCACAAGTGTTTCTGTGGAGGGGAACTGCTGCTCAGTCGTCCACAAAGCTTCAGATTTTCTTAGGTGAAGCAGCTAGAGGGTGAAGAGCCATCTAACTATGAGGTCACCTATTTGGGGCAGCTGCCTCAGATTTCCCAAGACCAGAGCAAAGAACAGTTTTCATGTCCGTGATAGTCCCCAGCATGTGTGCAATTCAGGTGTCTGTGAATATTTCTCAAGTGACTGTGTTTTGAATGCTTTTGGAACCAAGTCTCTCAGTGCTGTCTTCATTTAAAGCTTCATGATTTGGTATTGACTGGACTGAGGAATTAAGTTAGTAATTAGTATTGGAAATTTATTTTCAATTTCTTTTTCAAAGGCAAGATACTGCAGAGCACATTGACAGTTGTTCAAATTTCAGCCTTGTTTATCATTTCTTTCTCCCTCTGATGGAACCAAACTTAATTTTTGTTTACATAACAATGGAAATTTGAATTGTGAATGATGCTTACTTTTACCACAAGCAGATGAGAAAGGATAAGAAGAGTTTGAAACAGGAAGATGGAGTATGAAATTCAGGTCAAGGCAAGTCTTGTGATTATTTGGCATCTTTGAAACAGAGTTCTAACTTTATAACCACAGTGCCCCTAGAACCATTAAAAAGAAATTGGTCACAGTAACACGTAAAATGCTGGTAATCAGGGTTTGTGACAAGGTGTCCTTCAGTCCAAAGTCTATAACACTGAGAAGGATTTGGTTTGTGGGAGGGATCTGCTATGCACTGTCTGATATATGATGACAATTATTTACCCATAGTCAAGCTGACCATGAAACCATGAAAGATTTTCAAAGTGTCGTGCAGCTGGAGCTTCTAAGAGAATGTGTGTTTTCTTGAACACGGAGTAGTTGACTACACTTTAGTAAAAGAACAGATATGCTTTATAAATCAGTGAGTATGTGAGTAAATTTTATGTCCTTTAGAAAATACCCACACCAGCTGGGCATGGTGGCACATGACTTTAGTCCTAGCACTCAGGAGGCAGAGGCAGGCAGATCTTTGTGAGTTTGAGGCCAGTCTGGTCTACATGGTGAGTTTCAGGCTAGCTGAGGCTACAGGGAGACGCTGTCTCAAAAAAACAAAGAAAAGAAAATGCCAACACCAATGAAAAAGAAGTCTTATGGAAACTAAGCACTTGTGCAACTCTGAATTTTTGCTTTAACTTGTATTTGTGTTGCTGTGTGCTTTGTTGTTTGTGATGTTGGGATTGAATCCAGTACCTTACACGTTAGTCAAGTGCTTTTCTACTCAGGGCCCTTATTCATTTTTCCTTTCTTGCCTTACAGTAATTACTTCATTTTGTCAGTGTTCTTAGAGCCAAATTTCATTGTCCTCCTCTTTATAATTTATATTTCCATTTTAATTGGGATGTGGCAAATTTATAGGTCAATTCAGATTCTGAGTCTACTTGGACACACTTCTTAAGAGAGTCAGATGATTTTTTTCTTATTTTTGTTAGGATAGCCTTATGAAGTAAATCTTTCATCAATCAAAACTGCAACAAGTCAGTTTAAGATGCAGTTCCCTTTTGTGGTTCCTCTCTAAATCTCTGCTTGGTTTGATTTTGCCAAGAAAGGAAAACTGAAGAATATGAGGGGGGGGAGCATTTAAAAGTTACTTTTGAAATGGACACATGAAAGTTGTACAAATTTGTTGAGTGCCATGTGGAGGTTTGATACATTAATACACCACATAATGTTCAGATCAGATTAGACATGTGCATCTTCCAAAATGCTTTTCACTGCTTCATGGTGAAAATATTCAAAATCCTTGATTCCAGCTGTTTTGAAATATATGGATCACTATCATTATGTATAGTCACAATACTGTACAGTAGAATGCCAGCTATTAGTTCTCTTGTATAACTATAGTTTATTGTCAATAACCTGTCCTTTTACATCCCTCCATAATCTTCTCTAATGGATACCCGAAACATAATTTGTTCTATTGTAAATTTTTCTTGATGTTTTGAATTGAATTCTCAACTATTGCTAGTCAATATAAAGGCACTATAAAGTCAATATAAATACATGATTTTCATGTATCTG